GTGTAAGAACTTATTCACTATGTAAGAACTTGTTCACCATGTAAAAAAAAAAAAAAAGTACGTGAGGTGGCTGAAAAAAAAAAAGAAGATTTTAGGAAGGACAGACTGCATATTTAATACTATTTGGCATACTGAAGAAAGGATCCCAAGAGGCAGAAGGGCCTTTTGCAAGTACACACTGAAGTCAGCACTGAAGAGCAGAGGGGCTTTCAGTAGTAAATTATCCCAGAATTTTTGATGCAATTATTAGAATCAAGCAATATAAGATAGATATTCCAATAAAAGAAGGAAATGCAAGTAAAACAGTAAGTAATCTGCTTTTGTAAATATATTAGTAAATACATCAAATAATCTATTATTTGAAATATAAAAATATTTGTTATGCAAATACAATATAATGGCTTGTGAACTGAATTGTAGAATTTATTGGAATTAAAAGTAAATAACTAAAATTTAAAAAAAATTTTTTTTTAAGTCATAGTCATCAAACCTGTCCTTCCCTACAGTCTGAACAGGCTGTGCTGAGGAAGGGCGTTTGAGTTGAGTATGAAAGATGGATGCACAGGGAGGGGCTTGGATTGCTAAATAACGGTCTCCTACGGGGAAGACACATGGGCAAGCGAATCCAGCACACTTCCATGGACCTATGAGGCCTGTCCACCTGGAGCACAGTGACTGAAGCCGTGCGCAGTGAAGGTGGGGTTGGAGATGTCGGGAGGGGTGGACATGGCACTGTGCTGCTGTGCGGACCATCCTGAGGGCAAGGCTGTTTGTCCTGCAACAGGAAGCCATTGGCAGAGGGCAGTTCACTTCAAGCTAGCACAGTGGGTGAGCATATCAGATCAACCAGCCTCCTGCGAGCCTGAGATCTTCCTCCAGTGTCAAGCTCTATTAATAGATTCAAGAATACAGGCCACCAGGAGGCACAGATGAGGCAGAGAAAGGTCTGGAACATTCCCTACGGTCCCTCCCCGCACTGGTTGCGGGACCTGTTGCCACAGGGTCTGTGAGCCCTTCCCGCATCTCCACTCCACGAGGAACTGGCATCTCCTCCTCTGTGATGGCACCCGGAGCAGCTCACTTGGACTTTTATTACACACTCACCATCATTGTTCTGAACTCATTCTCTCTCCCAGTTACACAAAAACTATATCCAACCCATTTTATTCACAGTGTCTTAGAACAAAAGTGCTAAATGACTGTTTATGGAATGAGTAGATAAATTTCAGAATCACTACAAGAGAGCTGAAGAGCTGTGTTTGCAAACCTTCTCTAGTGAGGAGAACAGTTACTGGCACTGTGAAGCAACTTCACCAATCTGAAGAAAAACAAGTATAATTTTTCATGTTCATCCCTTGCCTAAAAAATAAGCATCATACTCACTAACCAAAATGTTACATTCTTTTTAGTATATATGACATTATTACTTGAGAAAACTTGTTAATGTACAGTGACCTTTTTTTGTTGTTGTTTTACCAATTAAATGGAATTGTAATCTCTGGTACAAGTCTGCAGTTCCCACACTTGAATTTCACAAACCAGTTTAATTTTTTTTATTATTTTTGGGAAACAACATAAAATCAAATACATCTTGTTTTAAAATACAATGACTTTTTAAAAAACCACCATCTGTTATCATAATAGTTTCATATATGATATTCTACATTTTTTACTTTTTATTTTGAAAAAAATTTAAGCCTACACAAGAGTTGTAAGAACATCACAGTGGATTTCCTTCGGGGCCTCACCACCTGGAAACTGCAGACAGTTGACAGGCCTCCAGCTCCCTATATTTGTTTATGGATAGAAAACATACGCATTTTTTATTAGCCATTTGAGAGGAAGTTGCAGATCATAACACTTTATCCCTAAGTATTTATGTGTGCATTTTCTAAAAGAAAAAGGTATTTTCTTAGATAACCATGGCATTATTATCAAACTCGGGAAAATTAATATTGATGTTTATTATTATCTAATTAACAATTTATATTAAAATTTTGCCTACTGTCCCAATGCTATCCTAAAAGAAAGTAGGTTTTAACACACATACAAAATTAGAAATAATCTGACAGGCTTTCAGAATAAAAGACATTCCTTTAGAGGAATATATTTAGCTCTGTGAATGTAACATCACTATTAGGCAGTATTTTCTCATTCCTCTTTGGGACAATGGTGGCTACACCACAGGTTTGTTATCAGAACTGCATTTGGCAATACCCAGTGTAGAGAAGATTAAACAAAGACATTATTAAGTGAATGGTTTTTTTTAAAGTTAATTCCATCAAATGCATGAAAAGAGTGAATGTCATGTATTGAAAGATTATTACTGTAAAATAAATTTACAAATAAGGTTTTGTTGCTGTTGATTAATTCTAAATTAATACTAGTTAACTTTTTCTGATAATTTTTAGATGCCTCTCCGTACTCCCCTCAACTATTAGAATTTTACTTCCGCCTTCTTCCCAAAGTGCTCCTAGGGCCAAAAGTTACAGAGCAGGACCTAGAAGAGAGATCAGAAACCTTACTTTCCCTTCAAGCATCCTGTGGATGTTCATGGACACATGTCCACAGCATCAGAACCACTAGTGGACATGCCAGTGGGGAGTATTTTTGAATGGTCAAGACTTTCAGAATCAGAATTCTGCAGCTCAGGAAGACAAAGACTGAATTAAGACACCATGAAAGTCCATAAAATTATGATGCAACTTGTCCTCAAGATTCAGATCAGAGGCAATTATAAAGGGGATTGAAGGATGGGTTGCTCCGGAGTAAGCCTTGATAGCAGTAAAAACCAAAAATACAAATATATTCAAATGGAGTTGAGATATATTTATAAATTTTAAATCCATAACTCACTATGGAGAAAGCAAATTTGAAACCTCATTTATTTCTGCAACCTTTACCCCACAAAATACCCCTCAATTGCATGAGTCACTGACCCAGCTCAGTATGACATTTCTACATCATCAGCCTTCCATTTCAGAACCCCACCGTAGCTCCACTTAGTTCTGCCTGTGCCATTGAGACCCTCCACTCACACCCATTCACACACCAACACTCATATCCAGCATTTCAAACTCAGGCAGAAGCCTTTGGGGCAAGGAAAAAGTACATTGTTCAATAATGGTCATGAAATCAGAGATTTGGAATTGATTTGAAAAATATACTTCAGAAATGTGAACCATCAATATTTTTTGTACTGTTACATTTTTTCCCCTTTTAAATATATTTTTGCTACCTTTTACTGTTAACATAAATGATATAGATCATCCTGTGTGGTTTCCATTCTTGCTGACAGTTTCATAGAAGTTCTGCAAAACAAAACAAAATCTAACACACACAAAGCTTGTAGATTATTTTTGGTTAGAACAATTGTGTAGGATTGCTTTATTCTGACTTCACCTGCTGGAGCTGAAGCCAAACCAGAACATTTAGATTAACCATGACAACTATATGCCCTGGGTATTTCACCTCAGAGAGGCTACACGTCGCATACTAAGAATGGAAGAGATGAAAAACGTACTTTCCTATACCTGGTTTCAAAACACTAGGGCCATCAGCATGTTCTGTGGGATGCACAGGAGGGTCCTGGGCTTGGTCTTTGGCATTGGTCTCTGTCAGTGACACTATGATTTTTCTTCCTCGGCTCATGGGAACCTGGTGGCACAGTGCGGGTCCCACAACACAGAAAGCATTCAGAAAAGATTTACTCAGCATAGAAGAGGGAAATACCCAACAGGATTTGTATTCTGTTTTATTCTGTTTTTTAGTATGTTTTATTCTGTTTTACTAACAAGAAACATATACCTCAAGCTTTAATTGTCCATTCATCGGACAGCAATTCCCTGCCTGTTACCCATGCGAAAGACCCAAGAATGCCCCTTTTCAGGTGGTCCACTAACACCACAAGATCGGGAAGTATAATTAGCTCAGCGAGTTGAATGTTGTTCTGATGACAACTGCTTCTTTCTTAGACAGCGCAAGGATGAGCTGGAGCAGAGAATGTCTGCTCTCCAGGAGAGCCGGAGAGAGCTAATGGTCCAATTAGAGGGTCTCATGAAGCTACTAAAGGTAAGATGTTTCAAATAAATTTTTGCTAGACTTGTGACTGGCATTTGCAAAAAAATTTTGCACATAATGTGCAATGTTTTTTTACAATTACTTTATGTGAGTTCCCCAAAAATGTGGTTTTAAACTCACATATAAAATTTTTTCTAAGACACATCAAATGATAGCTGTCAATTAGAGGGCTTTCCTGGAACCAGACTACTGAGGTCCTCCATGGAAAAACTTCCTGGCTTTTTTCCAGTTCCTATGTGCATGAAAGTAATAAATGTAGATTTCTTTAGAAATATTTTACTTTTAATAGCCCTCAGCATTCTGAATAAATTGGAAAGAAGCTAATGTCTAATTCAGAAAATGAAGATTTAGCCATTCACAAATTTTGGTGATTATAGTTTTAGCAAGAGGAATAACCATTAATTTCAATGAAATATTTTATCTCATCTGTGATAGCAAGTAAGTCATATAACTTTAATGGGTCTCAAATGCAAACTGTAAATGGGAAGATACCCTTGCTTTTCTGCAGGCAGAGTGTTTCATAAGATGATCTATAGAGGTCCTCTGCAGAGTGCTGTGCCTGTTACTCTCATTGGGAGGTGGCATTCTTCCTGTCATGAATGCTATTCCCATCCTCAGTAAACACCAAATTACATTTCACGTGGAAAGTAGACTGGCCATGGCCACACGTCCACCACCAGCCATTAGCAGGGTCATCATGCTCTGCTCACTGGGGTGCTCATCCTGCCGGAAGCGCACAGGCATAAACGGTCAGGGGCTGGGACGTGACATGGCGAAGGCGGAGCTGGAGCTCAGAGAGGACAGGCCAAGTCGGCAGCTCGCCCCAGGGGACAGGGTGCCCGGCTTGGAGCTCACAGGCCCCACAGCCCCGGCGCACTGTTGCTTATGGTTTCTGTACACGTTCTTCCTCCCTTTCTCCCTTCCTTTCTTTTATTTAACAAGTGTGTTGAAATCTGTGTCCCTGGCACGGATGTAAGTGTAAACTTCTTTCTTTTGTTTTCTTTTTGAATTATTTGTTGGCTCTTCCTGCCATCAGTGTGGGAAATGCTTGCATGTCATTGAACCAAGTTTAGTTTTCAGTGTGTCAGATGTGTGTAGTGTAGAATTCAGGTTTTGATGCTAAGTCAGGACTAGATAATTAATAATGCTTCTGCCCTATTATCTCATTCTAAGATTCAGAAAAGCTCTTTCTGCTTTCCTCCCCCAATGTACCAAATGAAGAGGGCCAGTGCCCTCACTGAATGACAGGAAACCTGAGCAACAGCCCCCTCCTTGTATTCCCATAGCCTCTGTCAGCCTAGCAGGTGGGCAGGAGTCTATTTGCCAGCAGCCCTCTAGTCTCCCACCTGGCCTCACTGAGCAGTCTTTTGCATTGGAGTGCACACCCACCACCACACAGAGGGAGACCTGGGCACACGGAGGAGAGAGATGGGTCTGCACAGACTTGGAAATAAAGTCACCAACTGGCGTCAAGGCCATGGGGGCATTTTCCCGCCCCCGCGTCCTTCGTGCTGCGCGGCTCCTCCTTGGAACCCTGGGTAACCTAACTGTCACCGATTCAATCTTTCTGTAGGAAGAAGAGCTGAAGCAGGGAGTCAGTTGTGTTCCCTATGGCAGGTCTTAACTAACAGTGGAGGCCGTCCTGCTTTTTTTCCCATTGCTTTTGCCTCTAACGAATGTTCATGCTTCAGTTTGGAAAGAAAAAAAGTACTGATTGCTTCCTTTTCAATGTAGTACTTGAACTGAGATAAAATGTGGCAGTTTTTGTAACTATTTACCATTGGCACCAGAGGAAGAACTGTTTCGTCTTTTAAGAGGAAACCAATTGTGATTTGTTGTAAACTTTTTAGATCTCCAGGGGCCTGAGTTTCAAACCAGTCATGCTTTTCTGGGCTGGCAATCAGCCCCTTCTCTCAGTAGAAAGACACCCAACCTAGGAGAAAGCCCACAGCATGAGAGGCTGGCCCCCCACCTCACACAGTGGACACGCAGCCTGGCCTCCACTTCACTGAAGAGGTGCTGCACCTCTCTTTCTAAAAATCAACCAATTACATCTCTTTTTTGTTGCATAATTATTAAGCCCTGTTCCTCACACTCACCAGAATGTACTCAATTCCCGTTGTTCCCCAAGCACAGTCCCTACTGTCGGGTGACAGTAATCTCTACAGAATAGGTAACTTTCTGCTTCCTCTGATCACCGGGAGCCTTTCTGCTCTAGGAGTCCACAGGGTCCGTATATACATCTTCTCTGGAAATAGGAGCATTGGGATTCTCTAATTGTACCCTAACTGAAGTCCTGTGTCTGACCCTGTGGGCAGTTCAGAAGCCAGCAGAGGGAGCAATATACTAAAAAAAATAAAATAAAACATAGAAGCAAAATAAAAGCAGCTTTGACTTCAAGTGCATGAACCAAGCTGTGTATGACAATCTATCCCACTTGGTAGTGTTATCACAGAAGCTCCCATTATTTCCGTGGCTTGATTAAAACCACAGCCTGTCCAGCTTCAACGTCTCTTTGGATTCTCCTGCTTTCTCTTCCCTGTTATTCATTGTGTTTGTGTGTAACAAAGACTGTTTGCCAAATGCTGGACACGTCTTTACCGTTCATTCCCATGGCCTGTAAACAAGGAAAGTGTAAAAGACAATAAAGGCAATGTATCACACTGTTTTGTATTTTGTGAAAAAATTACTGAAGTCAAACTTCAGGGAGAGACAGTCCCCTGGTGAAGGGCACCCCTCTGTGGCCCGTGTAGTTACCCAGAGTACACAAGTGGGAAATTGCTGTTGTGCTTCCAACACACTTAGATCATGGTAGAGAAAAGCACCTTGCGGGGTGCTTCTCTGCAAACAGCCTCTTCTTTCCGGCCTCCTACTCAGCATGTGCATGGAAAGGAAGTAAGGCCCCACTACACCTGCTCCTTCTAGGGGATCCTCAGTAAACACCAAATTACATTTCACGTGGAAAGTAGACTGGCCATGGCCACACGTCCACCACCAGCCATTAGCAGGGTCATCATGCTCTGCTCACTGGGGTGCTCATCCTGCCGGAAGCGCACAGGCATAAATGGTCAGGGGCTGGGACGTGACATGGCGAAGGCGGAGCTGGAGCTCAGAGAGGACAGGCCAAGTCGGCAGCTCGCCCCAGGGGACAGGGTGCCCGGCTTGGAGCTCACAGGCCCCACAGCCCCGGCGCACTGTTGCTTATGGTTTCTGTACACGTTCTTCCTCCCTTTCTCCCTTCCTTTCTTTTATTTAACAAGTGTGTTGAAATCTGTGTCCCTGGCACGGATGTAAGTGTAAACTTCTTTCTTTTGTTTTCTTTTTGAATTATTTGTTGGCTCTTCCTGCCATCAGTGTGGGAAATGCTTGCATGTCATTGAACCAAGTTTAGTTTTCAGTGTGTCAGATGTGTGTAGTGTAGAATTCAGGTTTTGATGCTAAGTCAGGACTAGATAATTAATAATGCTTCTGCCCTATTATCTCATTCTAAGATTCAGAAAAGCTCTTTCTGCTTTCCTCCCCCAATGTACCAAATGAAGAGGGCCAGTGCCCTCACTGAATGACAGGAAACCTGAGCAACAGCCCCCTCCTTGTATTCCCATAGCCTCTGTCAGCCTAGCAGGTGGGCAGGAGTCTATTTGCCAGCAGCCCTCTAGTCTCCCACCTGGCCTCACTGAGCAGTCTTTTGCATTGGAGTGCACACCCACCACCACACAGAGGGAGACCTGGGCACACGGAGGAGAGAGATGGGTCTGCACAGACTTGGAAATAAAGTCACCAACTGGCGTCAAGGCCATGGGGGCATTTTCCCGCCCCCGCGTCCTTCGTGCTGCGCGGCTCCTCCTTGGAACCCTGGGTAACCTAACTGTCACCGATTCAATCTTTCTGTAGGAAGAAGAGCTGAAGCAGGGAGTCAGTTGTGTTCCCTATGGCAGGTCTTAACTAACAGTGGAGGCCGTCCTGCTTTTTTTCCCATTGCTTTTGCCTCTAACGAATGTTCATGCTTCAGTTTGGAAAGAAAAAAAGTACTGATTGCTTCCTTTTCAATGTAGTACTTGAACTGAGATAAAATGTGGCAGTTTTTGTAACTATTTACCATTGGCACCAGAGGAAGAACTGTTTCGTCTTTTAAGAGGAAACCAATTGTGATTTGTTGTAAACTTTTTAGATCTCCAGGGGCCTGAGTTTCAAACCAGTCATGCTTTTCTGGGCTGGCAATCAGCCCCTTCTCTCAGTAGAAAGACACCCAACCTAGGAGAAAGCCCACAGCATGAGAGGCTGGCCCCCCACCTCACACAGTGGACACGCAGCCTGGCCTCCACTTCACTGAAGAGGTGCTGCACCTCTCTTTCTAAAAATCAACCAATTACATCTCTTTTTTGTTGCATAATTATTAAGCCCTGTTCCTCACACTCACCAGAATGTACTCAATTCCCGTTGTTCCCCAAGCACAGTCCCTACTGTCGGGTGACAGTAATCTCTACAGAATAGGTAACTTTCTGCTTCCTCTGATCACCGGGAGCCTTTCTGCTCTAGGAGTCCACAGGGTCCGTATATACATCTTCTCTGGAAATAGGAGCATTGGGATTCTCTAATTGTACCCTAACTGAAGTCCTGTGTCTGACCCTGTGGGCAGTTCAGAAGCCAGCAGAGGGAGCAATATACTAAAAAAAATAAAATAAAACATAGAAGCAAAATAAAAGCAGCTTTGACTTCAAGTGCATGAACCAAGCTGTGTATGACAATCTATCCCACTTGGTAGTGTTATCACAGAAGCTCCCATTATTTCCGTGGCTTGATTAAAACCACAGCCTGTCCAGCTTCAACGTCTCTTTGGATTCTCCTGCTTTCTCTTCCCTGTTATTCATTGTGTTTGTGTGTAACAAAGACTGTTTGCCAAATGCTGGACACGTCTTTACCGTTCATTCCCATGGCCTGTAAACAAGGAAAGTGTAAAAGACAATAAAGGCAATGTATCACACTGTTTTGTA